CCTCAAGACAGCACCTGTCCCGATTGAACTCCAGGACTCTATGTGACGACCTTTCTTACAAACCATCCCAAGCCTCCAAACCGAAATCCTGAACCAGAAGCTGCGAAACTCTGCCGCACAAGCGAAAACCACATTTCGGCTTCAGGGACTTACCCCAGCCGAAGACCTGACACCCCATGCGCTACAATCCAAACAGCCCTTGCTGCGGGTGCCTCGTGAGAGGGATGAGGATGGGGCCGGCCTAGGTGTTGGGACAATGCAACCCGGCTTTGGAATTCTGGGCCAAGGGCTGGCATCGACTTGGGTGTTGAGTAATGTTAGGCTGGCTCCGGGGGCAGGTGTCGAAACCACAACAAGATCAGGAGTGAGGTCTCGCCTTTGTCGGGAGACTGCATAAATTGAGGTGGACCCTATAGGTCCTTGGGCCACCACCCCCTCCGTGCCCTCGGTCGAAGGCAGCCGAACCTGCCGCAATACGATGTCCTATATTCGTGAGGTGTGACCGAGACGCCGCTTGGAAAACACGTACATCACCTTACCCGGACCCCTACATAGACCCTGGAATATGACGACGACGACGACGACGACGACCACGACGACTACGACTACGACTACGACTACGACTACGACTACGACTACGACTACTACTACTACTACTACTACTACTACTACTACTACTACTACTACTACTACTACTGCTACCACAACTAGGCCGCCTGCAAGTGTTACAAACCAATCTGCTGATGGCAGCTTGTGCTGGTGAATGTATACTATAAGTTTATAAGCCCTAAACCAAAACCCCGAAAACCCGAAACCCCTAAACAGGCTTAGTCACAGAACCGCAAAATCCATTCTAAAAATCCATTCTAGGCAGACACTAAGCCCAGTGTTCGCGGAGCTCGAAAAGTCTCCAACTCGGGGATCTGCGGGAAATACAACCAAAGGGGAGGACGAAGGCGTGTAACATAGGGGCCTTAATACTTAGTATAGGGTTTTGGGGCAGATTATACTATAAGTATATTAATTTAGGAAACCCCAAACCCTATACTAACTGTTAAGGCCCCGGTAGTATTTTGAGTACTGTGGGCTTCCGCCCGCACAAACTCCCTGCCCAAGCTCTACGCCCCTAAGCCGAAATTGACGCCTTCCTTGCCCAAGCTGAAACTGACCCTAAACCCTCAACCCAAGGGGACCCTAAGCCTTCTTCGATCGATTCTGGAGCACCACGGAAAGGAGGGACACCCCGTCATCCTTGCAAAAGCTCTGTCGCAAGTCAAGGAAGTCGATGTCGGTAACAGATTGAGACATTTGGGGTTAAGGGTTTGCGGCTTGAAGGTGTCGGGTTTCGGGTTCAGCGGATGAAAAGTCGGAGATGCTCTAGGAACATCACGGCTCAACAACAAGGCCGTGGGTTCACATGGCATGCGGTTGCTGGTTGGCAGCTCTATAAGCCCACAACGGTCCTGAGAGGTCTACGCGCCACTCAGCACGTTTTCAGATCATCGCTGGTTGCGCCCGAGCCCTGAGCCTACCCTTGCGACAGACAGAGCCATCATTCGCCCCCTTGGATGGCCCTACACACCCGAATCACAACCGAATGCAGCACCTGAGAGTGCTGAGAGCCCGGCAAAGCCAGATGCAGGGAGAAGGTTGAAGGCCTCAGGACTGCAAGTAGTCCGACAGAAACTGTAGCATGGAGGCAGACAAGAGCTTACCGACCTCACATGGTCTCGTGAAGGAGAGCTTTACATCAAAATCACGCAGCAGAAGTCTGAATGAATCCCGACACCAGGGCTTGCAGGCTCGTCAAAGCAGCAGTCTTTTTGTGATTTGGGTGGTTGTCAAAACTTAGGGTCCCTTTTTGGGTCCTTATTGTAGTACGGCACCTATTATTTAGGGTACCCCAAAAGAGACCTTAGTTTTGACAACTACCCATTTTTGTCCTCAAAGACTGTCTGAAGTCTGCCACGGGCCTGTCAAGCTTTGCTCCGTGAAGTGCAGGTCAGGGACATCCCTTCGGAACACCCTTTCCCGAACTCCGCGTCAGTACGACAAACGGAGGCGAGGCGGACGAAAGCAGTCTCACTATGTCACACCATTATGCTTGCGGAGTCCTTGTCTATCTGCGGCATGTTTTTGCTCCGTGCTTCTTACAGCCCGGTGCTTTTATAGGCCTCGAATATAGAATCCGTGAATCCGCATCTCATCTAAAGTTTCTAGACTCCTCGGCTATAGGACTATAGAACCCTATTACACTGACACGATCCTCAGAATCCCAACAAGAGGATTTGGGGTCTCCTAGACAATGGGCCATTCCCACTGCCATGGCTGTACAAGGCCGTGCCAGCCCGGGAGGGAACGCGTGGCTCCAACCAACTTTGGGTCGGACCGCAAAATGCAAGTGTCGAGTCTCACCCTGAGCATGGGCGTTTTGTTTGGGAGTTGTTGAAGTGACTACTGTGTTGAGGTCCAGATTGAAGGATTTGGGGCTTATAGGACTCTTGTCATGGTTCGTATGATTGCTACTGTTAACTAGCTATGGCTGTGATCCTAGTTATTGTGTTGAGAACGTTTCGTTTAAAACTATTCATATAATGTGGTAGTTCCTCAGTGTGGGCTGCGACATTTTGCGGTGTGTGCCACTTCAACTTCTCCTCCGGAGGATTTTCGGAGGTCAAGTTGCGAAACAAGTGCCGGTGCCAGTACCCGCAAACCCATGTCGGCCCGAGCCTGTGGATCCTTCAGATTGTAGCACCCCAACCTATAAAATTTTGGTATGCTCCACATTGCGGACAGGTGCAGGAATTTACACATTAGCACTGCGAGTTTAAAAGGCGAGTGAGAATCGTGTTTGGGATGTGCTACTGGTCTTTTGTCTCCTACAGCGCAACAGTTGAGTATAGCTGAGTGCGTTGAGGATAAGTAATCAATCGACATAAACCGTTTAAGGGTTGAGGGTAAGCTATAGTGTGTAAATCTGCATTCGATTCCACCGCTCCTCGCACTCATGGGCTTGCAGCTTCTGCACTGCCTCTTACCTTTATGCAGCTCGCCCTTTGCAGGCACATGGGGTCAGAAAACGTCATATCGTGAGGACAACTGAAGAGGACAAACAGGCAATATGATGCTCAGATCTTAACTGAACTCCCGGCAAAGGGCATAGTGACTGACCCCATTCAGTGGTTTCTGCTTCTCCTCCACCGCGCTGGCTCTGGTTTAGCCGCTGCGACAGAGAAGGAACCTCAAGAGGCTAGACTTCCAAGTGGTGACCATTTCCGGTAGATAAAGGGGAAAAAGCAATAATGTAGGGGCCTTAATAATTAGAATAGGGTTTTTGGGCCCATAGTATTAGTAGCTGTTCAGGGCCCTCTAGTAAATTCAAGGGAGCACTGACGGAGAACGAAAGGTATCGATGCTTGGCTATCACTGTATCTGTATTTCAACATTTTGATGGCCAGGACCATACCTAAAAGGTGGATGCCTGAACAGCTGACAAGCTCACCTCCCGTATACTTTACACCATCATCTTTCATGGGACTGACACTCCCAAACTGCATGTGATTGAGGAACCGAATCGAAGAATTCCACTACAGTGCCTTGCCCAAAGCCCTGAACCCCCTGAACCCTAGAATCTAGAAGGGATGCCACTCTAGAGAGCTGCTCGAAACCTTAAACCCCAACAGTTTAAAGAAACCACTCAAAGTCCGAACCGAACCCCCTAACCCTAATCTGGCTAGGTTGGCCCTCTAAAGCCTTTGAACATATTCGAGTAAATAATATCCTCCTAGGCCCATTCCAAAGGCCTACCTATATAGCTACCTAGAGGCTCCATAGGAACTAATCTTCGGGGTTCATATTTCAAATCCTAGAAGGTAATCCCAAAAAAAGAACTACTGTGGAGCGTATGTCTAGAGATCACGGGCTCGAGAAGCTCGAGCACAGAATCCCCCAGAAGCGCTCCAGGAATCTGCTCCTGCAGATTCGTCAGTTCATCTAATATAGGGGCCTTCATAATTAAAATAAGGTTTTGGGGTCCAATTATACTATAATTCCAATAAGGAGCCCCAAAATAGTATCGGTAAATATTAAGAACCCTATACTAGGGCTTTTCCGATCAAACTGGTTGAGGGCTGTAGGTGCGGAGTTGTGGGCTTAGGGCTTACACGGCTGGGGTCTCGGGCTACGGCTTTTAGGGCGTGTGGTGTAGCGCAACACAGCAACAAATTGCAACTGCTTTGATTGCATCGCAGAGCCTGGCGCTGCATGCACGCATGGTGTGGCAGTGGCGCTGCGGATGCAGAATTTCAGCGCGGCAAGCACATAGGCAGTTTGTCAAGGAGGTGGTTAAGCGGATGCAACAAAGGGAACATCCAGCCACGTATACTCAGAAACTGCGGCAAGTTGCCCGGCACTGCACTTTCGGTTTCAGCGCTCTGTGTTCAAGGCAAGCTATGAGCCACAGCACTATGTCCGCCGAACAGACTGCAGTCTTTTCAAGCATGCCTATATAGCAGTGGATCATACAAGCAAAACTTGCCCCCAGCAGTCTGTAAGGGCCGTAACAAATGTCATCGGGTATTGGGAAAAGGTTGTTGATGCTGCAATCTAGACTGCAATCAAAAGTGGTAACCGTAAGGAACCACCACTCATTGTTCAGGCCCCAACAGCACAGTTTCAAGAACAAGCCAACCAATATTCCCTGACAGGAATGGCGCGGCAAAGACTTGACCTGAGATCCAAACTCCAAGCGCTTGTTTCAGGCAAAGCCCAAAACCCTATGCTCCAGACTCTTTGATCTTCGACCAGTCTTGAACTCAATACTAAATCAAAAGAAATCTAAAGCTTCTGATTCTACTACGAGTGCACATGCGGCTGTGCTGAATAAATCATAACCTTCCCGCTGAGTTTCCTGACCCCCGAACAGTCATTTCGAAGGCCTATAACCCTCTAAACCCTAAGCCCTCAGCACTGAACCCTAAACCCTGAACCCTCGAGGCTCCTCAAGTGTGCGTGGGCTCCAGCACGAGAGCACCGAAGCATTTGGCTGCTAGCAAGACCCCCAAAGTGGCCTTCGGCAACAGAGGTGGTTCAGGATTTAGGGGTTTAGGGTTGAGGGTTTGGGCTTTCGGAGCCTATTTGCTACAAGAGCTTCTCGATATATACGTACTGTAATGCAATGTAAAGGACTTTGCAAGCATAAGGGTTTAAGATTTGCGATGGACCAGTGGTTCTGAACACGCTGGTGTGGTTGGGGTTGGGTCGCTTGGCTGCAGGTCGCCAACGGTCGCTTTTGCTGCTTTATCCTACGTTTTGGGCAGCCGTAATGACAAGGAACATTCTACAATCAGAACTCCGAAGACAATGCACTATTCTCCACAGGTACGCTCGATGGGCCTGCGAACACGACAACTTCAAAACGGATCATCAATCGTTGATCAAGTTGGGATCCTGCTGAGAAGGATCTTGCCCTAGACCCATATTCAAAGCCACTCCCAAACGTCTCAACCAACCCCGCAACCTTTAATTTGGCGAACAACTCTCACAAATCAAAGCGGACTTTGGCACCCGATTGCTTGCCGATAGTCCCGGGAGCCTAGGGTGCCTTCTATGGGTTACTGTCAGACTTCTATACGGGTTAAGAAATACCTGGACCCCCATGCAGAGTATGTAGAATAACGGCCTTGTATTGGTATTGGGTCATTATTTTGCTTACTTTTGAGGGTTTCAGGTAGTAGTAGAAGCAGCAGCAGTAATTGTAGTCGTCCGCAGGGTGTCAGGGTCACACTAAACTCTGAACCCTAAGCCCTACCTTAACCCTCAAGAACCTACCTTTTTCAGGACTTATATGAGGAAATCATAGTAGGGAACCCCAAAAAGGAAGGTTCTTCAGGGTTAAGGTATACAATACCCTAAACCGTTGAGAGCCATACCCTAAACTCTGAACCCTACAAGCCCTATACCCTAAACTCTGAACCCTATAAGCCCTATACCCTAAACTCTGAACCCTAAGCCCTATACCCTAAACTTTGAACCCTATAAGCCCTATACCCTAAACTCTGAACCCCAAGCCCTATACCCTAAGCCGTTGAGGTTCCTTTTGTTTTGCCGTGCCGCCGGCACTTTCACGGCCAGAGAGAAGGCGAAGTCCTCCCCCAAGCAGAAGATGGTGGCCTTCCTCACAAAGTCCAAGGGTAAAAAGGAGGGACCCTTAATAAGGACCCTTAGGCATATACCCTTAATATAGCTAGTATATACCCATTATATAGCCTTCCTCACATACCCTAAAAGGCTCCGTGTACCCATATAGTGAGTACTTAGGCCTTAAAGTACCTAATTATATATATATATATATATATATATATATACATATATATATATATATACATATATATATATATATATATATATATATAGGGACCCCTTCAAGGCCCAAGTACCTACTACATGGGCACATGGAGCCTGTGGGAAAAGGGGGTGCGTTCGAGGGTCAAGTGCAGTTTGCTTTTAGGGTCTACCGTGTCGGGTTTAACATGTTGGGGTGATGCAGAATTTCGTGTTCAAGGCCTGGCTTTCATGTTAGGTACTGCCCCCATACAGCAAGAGTACCATGAACATTACTCAACTGTTACTGAGTGGGGGCCGCACCCAAGTTTCAAGTCGTTAGAGAAATATACGAGATGTCCTGAACCCGAACGACGGATGGCTACCTTACTCAGAAGCGCGCTGCTCAAGATCCTCAGGGATCCTATATTGCATATAATGATCCCACAGCAGTCTGCAGATTCCATCGCACACCAGAAAACTAACCAAACCTGCAAAAACAAACGGAAAATGCAAAAACAAAAGCAACAACAAAAGCAGATCCCCTGAAGGATCCCCGATGAACGAGGACAAGGATTCCGATTGCGCAGCGCAGCTAAGTCCCGCAGGCCCAGTCGCTGCGCCAGGCGCCGAGAACGTAAATACCAAACCTGGACTCTTGTGGGGCTCTGGATTCTGAATTCTGGGTATACGGCTATAGGAGTTTATTATAAACTGATGACGGTGTATATATAACAAGAGAGACAGAGAGAGACAGAGAGAGATCGATACATACCTATATATATATATATATATAGAGATCTAGAGATAGAGATGTAGATGCACCATGATGATGCACCTGTACAAAGATGCATAGATGCACAGATAAACGTTTGGGGTCTGTGACAAGGAGAGTTATCAAAGGAAGCCTGAGCAATAATGCCGTGGAAGGCCACTGTTTATTCATTGTTGTGGGGCAGATGCGGATACCAGAAATATAGAAGCCAAATGAATGACTGCCACTACTATTCCGTAGGGCGCCTTATAGCTATACCATAACACATCTCCATGCTCCTGAATAATTATTATGCACGCCCCTTTATAAGGACTGAGCGTTCTGCCCTATCAACATCCTAGAACAAGCTCAGAATGACACGGCAGCAGCCCCTGAACAGGCCATGAAGGCCTGCACCTACGGCCTCAGCACCGCGACCTCATATCAAAGGGGAAAAGGAGGGACTCTTCATGGGGACCCCTGCCCTATAATGGGCTATATGATAAGGGTATATACCCAAGGGTCCTTATTAAGGGTCCCTCCTTGTACCCTTGGATCATACCGCCCCGCCTTAGGAGCCAGGTATGTCTCCACCGAGTTCGGCATTAGCCACTCGTACACCTGGAGAGGGTTGACAACAAACGCCAAGCCTAGCGGCCTAACAGGCCTTAGGCATCAGTATGTCGAATGCTGCTGGCAAACTAGTAGTCTCAACCTGGAACGGTTCAGTTTTGGGATTCATGTAACTGATAGCTGATGTGTGCAAAGCCCGAACTGCATCGTGATCTCAGTTATGGCTCTCCGACCTTCCGATTCCCCGATCCGTCATGTAATTTGAAGACCTCACCAAACTGAATGTTAACAGGAAAAGAAGGGACCGCAAGAAAGACCATCGACATATAAGATCTGTCATTTGACCATTTTAGACCCGGCAACAAGGGACTACTATCTTCCTGACTGTCTAAAACCCCTCATCTGCCAAAAGAGACCATCCCACTCGTAAAATGCCACAAGCCTCCTGCCCACAAAGCCTGAAAGCCTAATTACATTCTTCAAGAGCTAGTGCGACTGACTCCCAAATCCTAAGTACCCCAACACTCTGAACCTGTCTGTGACTTGCCTGGCCCACAGTGTAGAAGATGCCGACGCCGACGACCAGAAGCCAAAGGACACCTCCTGCTAGACAGCACAGGATCGCGCCCATAGCGTGCGGGTTTCAGGGACGCTGCTCACTAGGTTGCAAGAATTAGGGAGAACAGCCGGTTCTCCTTTTGGAACCTAAATAGGTAATGCTAAGGACGGAAATGAAGTTGAGTTGGCAATCTGGTCTTCTTGCCGGGATTAACTCCTAGCATCAGCCTTCTTCCAAAAGCCTGTACGTCCCACAACCTAAAGCCCACAAAGCCATCCGGAACCCGCTCAGAGTGAGTGTTCCGAGGATCAAAGCATGTCAGATTCGGCTGCAGTATGCTGGATTCCCAACTCTGAAGACTGCTTGAAGCTGCCACTATTTCTAAAACTATGTAAAAACACCGTCGTATGCGAGCATCCTAGACTCCGTAAAGTGATCAAGTAGCTGCGGTAGTTCGAAACTGGAACTCATCAACCCAGTACTGGACCCTCCACCGACAAGCCCCCTGTACCCTTACATATATATATATATATATATATATATATATTTATATAATGTATATACACAGCTTTATGCTTCGGTCATACCCTTCTCGCCGAAGCAACTTGGCATCCCTGTATCCTACTTATCCATACCTTCAAAATCCGCCTGCAATGGGTGGGAAGGCATTTGCAAGGTATTTCTGATGTACCACGGCTCGAGGTTTATTTGCGGGACTATTGAGTGCGGAATGCGCTTGGCCATTCGCTACCAGTTACGTGTTAGGCTATGGTTGGAACGGCACCTTGTCCGTAGATGCGATGGAAATTGGATCCGTTCAGGTAGCCGTCGATGAGATGGCCTTATAGTAGCAGCACATTATCCCTGCCATTCCACTGGCATGACGGAATAATTCAGTATTCCTCGTAGCACTCGCTTCGTGGAAAGGGCATGGAGGTGTGCGAGGTCGCTCTCTCACTCCCAGCTCCCTCCGTCCACCCTCCCTTCCTTGCCTTCCTCCCCTCTCTCTCCCTCTCTCCTCCTCCATCTCTCGCTCGCTCTCTCTCTCTCTCTCTCTTTCTCTGTCTCTCGCTCTTTCTCTCTTGCTTGCACGCAGCCAAGGGGTCGGCGCTGCCTACCCCCGCGCACGAGTGCGCACCGGGTTTGTCCGTGGTGAGCTCTTTCTCTCTCTGTCTCTCTCTGTGTCTCTCTGTGTGTCTCTCTCTTTCTCTCTCTCACTCTCCCTCGCTCTCTCTCTCTCTCTCTCACTCTCTCTCTCGCTCTCTCTCTCTCTCTCTCCGCCTCTCTCTCTCTCTCTCTCTCTCTCTCTTTCTATCTCTCGCGCTCTCTCTCTCTCTCTCTCTCTCTGTCTCTCTCTCTCTCTCTCTCTTTCTCTCTCTCGCTCTCTTTCTCTCTCTTCGCTGTCTCCCTCCCTCGTCAGGAAGTATAGGGGCCAGCTAGGCCCCCTGGCCGCATGGGCCCATCGTTTGTGATGGGGCTTTGAAGGGGTGTAACACTGCGATCGGTGTTGCCTCAAAGAGTGCAAACGAATGTGTTGGGCTATGAAAGACTTATCTTTCTCTTTCTCTGTCGTTTTTCTTTCTCCCTATCTCGCTCTCTCGTTCTCTTTCTGTCTCTTTACTTTGCTTTGCTCTCGCTCTTTCTCTCTTTCCGTCTCTCTCTGTCTCTCTCACTCTCGCTCTCAATGTAACCCTCAATGTTGTTTAACTGCACATGGCTACAGCGGGCCTATGGTGAATAGCGAAGGGCACGGCGTTCGGCATGGAGTGCGAGAGTGTGATCGAAAGGTTACTGCAGCGAATGTAGGAGAATCTTGCTGTACTTGTCAATGTATCCTCGGGACGAAGGAGCAGTGCTTCTACATCCCCTACATGCGAAACCGTCCATATCCTAGACCCCGCAAGCCTCAACCCTGCACGTCGCAAATGCTATACTCATTAACCCGCAAAAGAGCAGTCAAAGAAGATCCCTTTCAAAAGGTCGCAGTTTAAGGCCAAGCAGCACAGCACGGGGCTGATATGATTCCAGCCGATGCAGAAGCTGTGGAGCACAGGACACTCTGCCTTGATCCAGGGTCTGTAGGGTTTACTTTAACCCCGAATAACCTACCTTTTTCAGGACGTCTTTTCAGGAGATCATAATGAGGAACCCGACAAAAGGTGGGCTACTCAGGGTTTAAGGTAGGGTTTAGAGTCGCCCCGGTCCAGAGGTCCGCTCATCTTATGGTTATAGGGATTTATCGAATTCTCTTGGGTTGATTCATGTGGGCTTTTCTCGGCTTTTATAGGGCTGATGCAAGGATATGAGAAAACCGGTATATATATATATATATGGATCTGTCACGGCCAGCTGCTTGACGATTTCTATCAGAAGGCCTCTTTCTTTGCCAACTACACTCAAGCAATGCAGGGGCACCAGCATGTGTACTGGTTCGACATATCATCCCCGCATGGTCCCAAATACAAATATGGTATGATAACCAACAGTAGCAGCCGTGCTCTACTTCTATTCGAACAAAACAACAATAACAACAGCACTAACACTAACAGTGCCAGCAGCAATAGCAACATAACAAGAACATCAGCAGTAGCAGCAACAGCAACAATGTAACAATAACAGTCACTGCAACAGCAACAGCAACAATAGCAATAGCAACAGCACCAATGATAACCCAAACAGTAATGTTAATGACCTTAATCCCAAACAGAACTAGCAAGACATGTGTTACAAGTACAGCAGACTGAATCAAGAGCGATGCCCAATACAAGCTAATAGAGTAGCTGGAATAGGAATACCGCGAGCCAAAATGCTGAGAGGCCCGGTACGGAATTTTCATAAACAGAGGTCTGGGGAACCTGACTTTGCTGTAGGAAGGCCAGCCAAAGAGCTACAACAAGAAACAACTGCAGCCCAGCAACGATTGCTGGGATCATGTCCTTACTTGCAGTGCTTCCTCGCGAAGCAAAGTTTAACAATAACTGTTCGGGACCTGTAAGACAAACGAGGACGGCACAAACCAGTATCAGTAAACATGACGGTGATGTTTGGAGGGATCCCGCCGCCCTGCACCCGCAGCCCCTCCAGTGTTTTCAACGACCCCCTTCCACCCAATTGTACAACGATGCCCCATCATCTTCTGAAAACTCCCAAGTTTCTTTCGGGGCCCCACCGCCATAAAAGTTCGAGACCACGAAGAAGCCAATGTACACAAAGCAGGCCGCGACGAAGCTTGCAGGATGACTCCAAGAGACCTGAAAGAGTTGGGGCTCTACACCCTGTTTCTCCACTTCTGAACAGGTGCTAGTTTGATCTTGATGGTTCAGCTTTTCAGCTTTAGCTTGGGCTTCTGTTTTTGGCGTAAGGGTGACTTAGGTCATTTTGGTGTCTCCCAAGAAGAACTTGCACACTTGCGATTCTTGGTCCTGCGCAATTGAAGGGGAGTGGTGGTGTAGCTGCGGGTTCTCAAGGCTCTACAGGCTTGTATTCAAAAACGCTGCGGGTGCAGAATTTCTGGTTCTAGGATTTGCTGGGTCCAAATTAACGACTATAGCGCCCAATCCTTACGTCCTCAAACCCTGAACCCTAAACCCTAAGAACCCTCAAGTTGAGAAGGACACCCCGGAGGACCTCTAGAAGCCTTAGCAAAACCGCTAACAACCTAAAAAAGCCTACAGAACCTTACTCTACGATGTGCTCAGTTGTGCGGAATCTTCAGGACAGTCTCGGGCTCTGAGGGGCTGGCAGAGCTGCCGGGCGGTGTAGAGTTGAATTAACGGGCTAGAGGGTTTGGAAACTCCGTACTGTGAGGGTTGGAGGGCTTAGAGCTCAAGGGTTCAAACCGAGGGTTTTGGGTTCAAGAGCTTCGGATATTCTGATGTGAGCGAGACAATGAGGGTTTCATCTGAAGCTCCCAAGAATCCCTTTCCAGAGCCAAGACACGAAGCTGTCCAACTTGGGGTTCGAGATGTCAAAAGTTCCTGACTTGCCCAGTATCCTAGGAGAACTACATGTTCATCTTTGGGATTTTATAGAGGTCACCATACTCCCCAAAAGGATAAAGGCTACCTAGTCCGCTACCAAGGTTCCAAAGTAGATAATGTGGAGGAGCACGCACCATGTGGTAAGGTAGCGCATCGGCTTCTGAATGCAGGCCGAGACAAGGAAGATGCAGAGAAACAGCTGGAAGGACGCCTTGGGCATTTGGGCATTTCTGGGTTTCGACCAATGGCTGAACGGTTTTAGGCTTAGGATTAAGTAGAGGGCATTGTAAGGCTTACTGGGCGTAAAGTCTTAATTGATTTACAGTTAACTCCTTCTGATCCTGCTGACATGTGGCACGCTTTCGCAGTACCTTAAAGCCCAACCTCCTTTACCCCAAGAACCTGCCCTCAATCAGACGCTCACCAAAACCAGCCTGCCTGGATGGGGTTCCGATATGACATGGCCACTGACGGACCCTGGGGTTAGAGTCTAGTCGCTCTAGTCACGACAGTTCCACAGGTTTCAATTGATTCTTATATGTTTTCCTCAGAGCTCATAAGTCGCGCCGGGCGACAACATGCAGGGCATAGCCAGCCTTCTGGGGCTCCCAGTGCAGGCCCTCCACGGCGATCGTGAGACCAGCCGTCACCTCAAACAAATCTGCCGGTGGGATCTGTAGTGATAGGGACAAGAGTGCCACGAACAATAAAGGATATGCAAAACAAGACTGCAAACGGCAGTGCTAGCAGTGAACTTGATGTTGAAACCAACATGACGCTGATGGACAGGGCCAGCCACAAACCAATACCGTCCAACAAGCACCGCAGTGGTGACAGCTGACACCATACTGCTTAACAGCAGCCGCCAGGACCGTCACAGCGCTCATCAGAATCCTAAACCTACATCTTACACCCTTCATCCCTCAACCGTAAGCCCTAAGATCCTATGATCGGCTTCCTGACCTTACATTGCATCCCGAAGCCGCAACACCCAGTTCGACCGTGCCCCATTCGGCTGGTGACATGGGAACCACTGACGGCCGGAATATGACAACACCAGAACATTGTGACCAATACCGAATGCAGTAGACGGTAAGACGCTTGAACATTGGCTTTGGTGACCCTTCCAGCAATGACGGTCATAGAACCAGTAGACAAGAGAGTAATTCACCAAAAACTACTGCAGTTGATCCTGAGAGCCCTAATGTTGAACAGCTACGGGTCGCGGCCGGTCTCTACCACGCAGCCGTATGACCAACATCGGTGAACCAACAATCCTTGAACACTTGCCAAGAGACCACAGTGACTCCGGTGGATACCAGCAGCGCAATGTTCCAGCTGATGACGTTTGTTCCGAGGAAGGTCAGCAGAAATGTCAACGTCAGAAATCGTCCTGGAGCACCGGACTCGAAAAGCTGTGACTAAGCTTCTGCCAGGACTTTCCCCGATCTCAACCTGCCTGCTGTTGTGTGGTATCTCTCTATTATTCAAATTACGTAGGGTGTGTGTTAAAAACTTACAGAGAAGGTATAACGATCTAGTAAGTTACGCAAGCGTTCTGGGTCAGGGGATGCTATGCCGCCAATTGGACAATGTGCTCGCGTCGGAGATCGCAGCCTGCCTGCTCACGGGTGAGGTGTGAACCCATGGTGACATCCTGAACTGAGCCCCTGTTGCTTGAGCCAGCTCATGTGGCCTGATATCTGTGCAAGGAATAGCAACCTCTCGACGCACCCTGCCCAAGCAAGACCGCTGCGAAACAACCAAAACTGCCATGATTCTATTCCAACCAAACATCGTAATTTGCTTCGAGGCTCCCATGGGAAGGTCAGCTGCAATGTCCCAGGAAACCGGCTCCACCGGTGAAGAAGGCATTGCAGCTGCCCATCAAACCCGACTGAGACTGCTATGCTCCCGAACTCTTTCAAGCACTCGCCTTCCACCAGCAAGACACACTGTCGTTTGCATACATACATTCATGCATACATACATGTACATATGTACGTACGTACATACATACACACACAAAGAATTAAATCGCTCAGGTTGTGGCTAGGTCGAATTTCTGCTACATTGTTGCTGTGATGTGCGGCGATGCCCTTAAAACCCAGCTGACAGGCTTTGTATGGCCCAGCTTGTGAAAGGCTACTGTGGCCAACGCAGGAGGAGGGCTTGGGGCTTGGGGGGCGCAGATTTCGAGGTTATGGTTTTAAAGCAGATCATTCAGATCATGGATAAACAAACTGATCTGGAAACCACTGGAACGACAAAGACAACCGGCACAAAGACACAGAAACGGAGAACCAGACTGCAGCCCAGCACACCGCGTTGACGAGAGAATAGCACACAGACTATCAACGATTTAGGGCCCAATCCTCCAACTCCTGAAGCCTGGGCCGGATCCCATGAAACACTGAAGGCGGCAGCTATAACATACTACAACATCTAGAATTATCTATACTATACTCAAGTATATCCTGATATACGCCAACAACCTTACTGGTGAGTTCGCATGGCATCCGAAGGCCCAGCCAGCGCGACTGCAGCGGCAACTGCAACCTGTCTCCATGTTTTCGAGAAAGCAATCGCTTCTTCATCAGACGAGGACAATGAAAGAACAGAAGTCATACCAGTGATGATGTTGAACGGTAATCATCGTAGACTTCTTGGACTTGGTACGCGCCTTTAATTTCAGCAGTTACTTGCAATGCAGAAAACATGGCTGCCGGCACACTCCTCTGCGACAGTTGTAGTAAATACATGTTTGCAAATCTTGCCTTCATGACGTCTTCGTGCACAAATCGCCTCGGATTTGCAGGAACGGAAGAGTGCGTGGTAATGTGCACGAACACTGGTGGCACTGAGCCTTTGCGCCTCCGTTCGCAACCCGGGGCTGAAGCGCAAAGGTATTGGGTTTTCGGCTTTGTGAGCCCGCCAGGCCGGCCCTAAAATTACACATCTGATCTGTAACATTTTGTCACTCACATGGCAACCCAAAAAGTTGGGTAGGGGGTTGAAGGACACGTTCATGGATCAAAACTTTTTTAAAGCCTCGGGTCTCATTGGAGTTATTGGAGGCTGGGTCGAATCAAGTTGAAGAACGTCCGCCTGGATACTGACATGTCCACTTGCCGATGGAATTGCACTGAAAGCACGATTCTTGGTGTACACATGTGCAAGGACTGCAAAGAAATACATACGTGCCCTGACTCCCTGTCACAAAACATATGTAGAGGTTTCGGGAATATAACCCAAACCGGGATTTGCAATCCTTGCTTCGGTGAAGAAGGATTTTTCATCGATTGATCCCGAAGTAAACCAATCCGTGCACAAATCACCATGTGATTGCGAGTCTTCAAAACACAACACACGACAAGTGTACTAATGATGTTATTTTATGAAGCTGTGCTGCAGGTTCTACAACATGCAACATGCACAACCCACACGGCGAGTCGCGAATGTCAGCTTCACGTCGTTTGCTTCGGTGTCGACTCAGCGACGTGGTAGTCCAAAGGGTAGTTGTAAGCGGATAGGGGCGTAGAGCGTGATTGCGTAATTGAGCTGCGAAACAGCTATCGGACGGACATTCTCCAATTCTCTCAAAGCTGGGATACGAGCATTGGCCGGATACGACAAAGTATGGGAACAACTCTGAAATTCATGAACCATCCAAACACATCAAACATGCGACCCATGTTCTTTCAACAGAGAGGCGCCTCTCTTTCAATCGATGGTGAAACAGTGACCACGTAGCGTTGCCTTCGGCAACAACGGCGTGGTAAAGTGAAACGGCATGTCCACAGTTTGCAGCAAAACAAAAGTTTTACAGAGCGATGCAGTTTGGTATGCAGGGGCTGCAGACTGAAAAAATGGAAAGCTGGATCCCCGAAGTGGGTGACGGATCGCAAGCAGCTCACGCTATTTATTATGGCTTTTGAAACTCTTGGGGCTTGCTACAGGAACCGTGCAAACACGACGATGCACAAACAACCTGAACACAGGGTTTCTACACAGCGGAACAGTCCCTAGTGTAGCGTTGTACTTGAGGCTTGCTACCAGGGCGCGACCACATGCCTGACAGAACGCAGTAAATTGCCCACGCAGTGACGACATGTCGTCTCAAGGTTTGCGCTGACTCGCGTAATTCTTCTGATCTTTCTTTTGCAACAGCTTGTGACCACCAGCTGCGGACCGTCCGCCCAGGTGCATCACGCATGTTGCAAATGACCACCAGCTGCGGCCCTGCCGCCCAGGTGCGCCACATAGCTTTCTTGGATTCGGCTAGGCCTGGCTAGAGAGCCGAGACCGCATGTTGCAAATGACCACGGGCTGCGGCCGCCCAGGTGTGCCACATAGCCTCCTTGGATTCGGCTAGGCCTGGCTAGAGAGCCGAGACCGCATGTTGCAAATGACCACCAGCTGCGGCCCTGCCGCCCAGGTGCGCTACATAGCTTTCTTGGACTTGGCTTGGCCTGGCGAGACCCTTGCGATTCTCACACCGAAACTTCTCACCAAACTGGAAGACCTGCTGCACAGTTGTCAAGGATGCAAGGTGTGCCTCGAAACCCTGTCTCAATGTGGCAAGAATCCGTTGCCAACCTTCTGCGGTACGGTTCGTTGGCTGCTCCCTTTGCACAAGCTGCTCTACGTAGAAATCAAGTTAGGCTGCTGCCTCGGAAGATCCGTCACCTACCCTCTGCGGATAAACTCGCTCGCTTGCCGCAAATGCTAGTGGCATAGTTCTGGCAGTTCGGGTTGTTGGGGAGTCATCGGGCTGAAGGTTTAGCAGTCCATTCTACACTTGCGCTGAACCGGTTCAAAGGACTACTTCACCGAAGACACTTGCGGCTCATCAGCGCATCATCATCTTCACGAACTCCTGGTCATGATACTGGCTTCGGCTCGGCAGACGTGCAAAGCAAGCGGTTTAGGCATGGGGATGCTGCAGTTCTATCGTATATGCAATGACAGGCAACTAATTATAACCATCATAAAACCTTCCTTGCTTATGCAGGCAGCGAGGAGCAGACAAACAAGTAGGTAACAGTCGACCTACGCCTCGCGAGATGCAATCCGGAGGCTCCGAGGACTCGCAAATGGTCCAGAACTGCTCAAACCTCTGAACTACCATAGTCTGATAGTTTGTAGGTCATGTATGTACTTATGAGCGATATGAATCACAATGCAGCCAACATGCCTTACTATGGATTCCTTTGGCATCAACATGAAAAATGGCTCCCATGGAACGCCCAGCTATCTGGACACTGCCAAAATCGGATATGGTCGTTTAGCAGGCCTTGTAGGTCATCTGCTCTGTGTCTCCATCCTCGAACTTCGTCTCTTCGAACATCATCTCCAGCTCCTTCATTCGGTGTTGTTGCTCTCGCTTCTGTTTGATTACTTTTTTTAGAGTCTAGGTGTGCTAGCTGTTTCTTTGATGTTGTTCCTCCTTTTGAAAAACGCGTGAGTGTTTAGGTTCAGAGTGTGCGCGCATTCGCGAATACCATCATTTGGAAGGCTCCAATTCGCGAGATTTCGGCGTGTGGTGCCTCAGCATTCGATTGCAGAAGGAAGCAGGATCGCAGGGCTTAGGGATTTTCGGGCTTTCAGGATAAGAAGTTGAGTGAATGGCTTTCACAGTCTCTAAACTCTAAACCTTAAACGTTCATTGTCCGGATTTTCTGTCTCAAGGATCCCGGGTTGCCTGCAGGATCGACCTTGGCTGAAGATCAAGATCCCAAACCTTTGCTTAGTAGCACTAATGCTTGTGGCCCCGACAGGAGTCCTCGGAAGTGAAGTCCTTTGCCGATGACTGCATCTGCCTGCGGTGGACAGACCAAACCAGCAAACGCGGGTGTCAAGCAAACAGCTGACATCCTGAAGAGTTCGCCATTGCACTCCTAGTCTCATCGTTCCACAATGTTCCACAGTAAAATAGAGTGTGCCGCGAGCCGTAGTTCAACTGTTGAGTTCAGGTTAGTTCCTGCCTGTATATTTGTATACCTATTTTTGCATACTACATTACTGCTCTTTGCTCCTCCAGGACCAGTCGTGGCTTCCAGGACGAGCTGCATGTGAAAGGGATCGAACGTGCGTTCGGTGCCCACGTGCGCATGCAGGCATGGACGCATGGGCAGCTTGGCTGATTGACACAGACTTGCATGCTCAAACAGATGGCATCATGCAGATCCAGTTGGCGTGTTCTTGGGATTCGATGGCCCAATCCCACCTACGCCCGTGCAAGCGGCCTAAGGCTAGGTATACAAAACAAAGCACAAGCATTGGGCGCAGGTTGAAGGCAGTTTAAAGACTCAGCCCCAAACCCCAACACAGACATCCAACAGAAATGCTGAGATCCGTATAACAAGGAGGCCCGAAACTGACCCCCAAGTATTGAGAAGTCCGTACAGCTCTTCACAGCTGAAAGTGCCTGAGTCATGCTTCAGGCTTCACAGATACATTTTCTTGACCGGAGAGCTACGGTGTACGGTGGAGGATATACTCACCCTAAATATCACCTCTTAGCACCGGAATCTTCCAGGAAAAAGGTCAACTCTCAGGGCCGGGCGCAATGAAGTCAGACTTCTGGATCTTGCCCTCCTTTCCCTGGGTCGATCGCAGTATTCTCCATGCAGCGGCTCGCCCATTCACGCGTTGCTTACCAGTCTTCGAGGTATAATTACTTCTACAATTCCGTAATCCGACAACGTCAACATACTGCCTTCGCATGTGCACTTGAGATGGGGGAAGTTGTTTACTTGCGCCCTGTACTCTGCAAGACGCAGTGTATCGATAAACGCCGATGCACGCACCAGGTTTTCAGGATGTTCAGCAGCGAGGAATTCTGACACGGACAGCATGTTACGGACACGAGT